CTAATATATACATATATTGATTTGTTAAGTTTTAGTGCAATCTAAATTTGTATACATATATTGTATACGTCTACAGATTTGGTGCATGCGTGCAATTTGCTTCAAGTTTTGTTATTCATGAATTTGTATACACATATTGTATACACCTTTCAATTTCGATTTGAAGTTGAACATGTTTAGATAATGTACACAACAATCTATTTATAATATATAATAGCTATATATTTTTTTTTGGTAAAAATAATAGCTATATATTTAGTTATACATATCTATTTATATATAATAGGAGAAGTGTAAAGTGCCACATGTCAGTACCACAAAAAACAAACTTTTTAAATAATTGAAATTAATTACAACTAATAGGATTAAAAAATAAATTACTATTTTATTTCTAAAACAGTTTATGAGAAAAGATTGTTAATTTATTAGCAAAATTACTTTAAAATCAGTAAATTAAAAAAAAAAAAAACATAACTACCCTTACATTTTAAATTTTCAAATCAAGTAGTTATTAATTTTAAAATTCAAAAAGAAAATATATCACGTTAGTTTATTTAGAAGATTTTTGAGGAGTAACTTTTTAATTCCCCATTTCTCTCTTGCATGATAATACAAATCTTTTTAATTTTGATTAAGAATTTTTTTTTCTTCCTTTTTAAAACTTTATAGTTCATATTATTTTAATTTATGGTAGTTTTAAATTAAGTCTCTTTATGATATAGTCATTGATAAAGTCAAATCATTTAATGAGGGTGATCAAGATCTTTTAGTATCGGAAGTTTTTTTTGATATGATGAAAAAAAAATTGCATTTATTTTTGTAACTTTTACAGTTCTTATGAAAAATATTTCTCCATTTATACTCAAATTACGTCATCGACAATCAAAGTACATTAAGAAGGTCATATATGAAGTTCTCTTTTAACTTTAAAAAAAATTTAACTTATATTTGAAAAAAGGCATAAATTTCCTCAAAGTCAATTACACACTTAAACTATCATGCCGATCCATTACACACTTTTACTACTTAAAAGTGAATTTTATACCACCCTAGACGTGTAACATCACTCTCACAGTATGTGGTGTATTACACTCACTACCACATCAGCGATACGTCAGCGCCATGTCAGAAATTATAATTTTTTTAATACCCTTTTTGTTTTTTTCTTTGTTAATTAACTTTTCTTTTGCTAGCTATATTTTACACTAATTAGTTTTTAATTAATTAGTAAAATTCTCTATTAATTATATCCTCTTCATAGCAAAATTGCAAAGAAGAAGCTTTCTACAATGGCCGCCAAGAAAACTTTCCGAAATTCGAAGTTGATTCGTGTAGTGAAAGAATTTCCTCCATCCAAAATGAATCACAAGAAGACTGCTTCAGTTTCTTCCATTGATTGACCATGAAAATCGAGCTTTCAATTGAAAAATAATAGGAAAATAACTTTCTTCCCCTTTTCAATCGATTGCTCATCTTGTTTACTAAAAATATTTCACCATAGCTCCACGACTGAGAAACCCCCAAAATTTTGCCGCGTCGATAACGTGAACAAACACAAATTAAAACCCACAAATCTGAAGTCACCTAGTACTTTTTTTATTTCTTCTTGGTAGGTTTATGGGTAAAAAAGTGGTGTTTTTGAAGTAACTTGTTACTACATTGCTTCTTGTTATTGATTCATTTAAGCTTATTTGTGTGTGAAGAAGATGAGAAGGGTGAGGTATGAAGAAGAAGAGATGTGGGGGGAGGATATAAGGAGAATTCTGATTTTTTTAATTATTTTTTTTACTTTAATAATTATTTGATGCGCATGATTTGTTTTTGTTTTTATTTTGCCACGTCAGTTTTAGGGGGTAAATAAATTTACTTTTAAATAGTATAGGTGTGTAATAGGTCATTATGATAGTTTAAGTGTGTAACTGACTTTTCAGTACAAGTTCAGGGAGAATCTATGTTTTTTCCCTTTATATTTAAGTAGTTCATCCGAAGAAAAATATCTATATTGAATCATAGTTACTTATAACGATATTGAAGTCATGTTATGAGATGATACATGCATTGAAAAATATATTGATAGAGGATTCTGGCATTGTTACGAAATCTATGTGGTGAATGGAGGTCTTAGGTCTTTTAATGGAGAAAGTGATGAAATGAGGGAGAAGATGTGAAATTGAAGGAAAGGATGAAATGAGTGGGGAAAAGAGTGAAATTAGGGATTTAATTCGTCTATGTGGAGGTGGGGCCTGTTTGGCGTGCAATGTGGAGTCCATATGACATTTAACACACACATGGATACTTCCGTTAACTATAAGGGTAGGTTTGCCAATAGTTTGACAGGAAGAGTATTTTTGAGCCGAAATATAGTTTATGAGTATATTTAAGCTATTTAAGATAATTTAAGGGTAGTTTTGAGCCTTTTCCATTTTCTTATTTCAGTTCAAAAGGTCAACTATCCAAAGACGGATCCTAACTACCAAAAAGGATGTGGGCGTAGTGAATGAGGCTTTTTCTGCTCTCCTGAATCAGAGTTTTGGATTCGAGCTCTTGATATGAAAATTTTTGAATAAAAAGCACTTCCTCCTAATGATCCTACGTAGCACGAATCCAGAATAGACAGACTTCAATGTTGCATACCTTAAAGCTTTTCAATTAATAAACATTGAAGAATTAATTAAGAAAAGAAAAAAGAAGAAGATAAAACTTACTTGGATTTATCTGATTAAGCCCAATGCCTAATTAGAAGTCCAAATACTGCTAAAATTTGGTGATTGAAGTCGTCAGACCATTTAATTTGGAAGAACATATATTATATTATCATAATATATCTTCTGAACGGTAATTTATAAACCTTTTATATCTGAACATGATACTAATAGAGCAGTTGAATCTGACTTTTTGGCTTACCAACTTATGAGTCAAAGTTAAAATTCATTCCTTTTTATTCATTTTTCTTATTTTAATTCCAAAAAATAAATATTTATAATTATTTTTTTAATTTTATCCAAATACCATAAAATATTTTAATCCAACAGGCTTTTTTAAGTCTTTTCTTATTCTTTTATTTATTCAATTTAATACATATTGCACTAGAAAAATTAACTACTACTACTAATTAATAAATTAATTGAGATTTGTGTCACTCAGAAAAAGGCAAGCTATGAGTTACTTGTATTGTTTTTTATTAGTATGAACACAAGTATATATTTATGAAAAGATAGTTAGAGATTTTAGATCCCAAAAAAGAGGACAAGTGGAGAAAATAAGGCGTGGAGGAGAATGTTGATTTGGACTTTTTTTTATTCGGTGTTCAATATCCGTATTAAAGTTTGATTATTTTGGATTCATGATACGTAGAGTCGGATCGTCTCAACAAGTTTGGAGGCATAAAGCAAGACCGTATGAAGTAAGAATGTTAACAATGAAATTTTTTAATGAAGTTGAGAGCATCTAATTAAGGATCTCTATTGCATATTTTTATGAAATAAGTTATATCATATTTAATTTTAAAATGAGGGTATTTAAAATATCCGCGCAACACACGGACACAAATATTAGTTATGTATAACAAGATAAATTTTTAGATATTAATATCGTGAACGTGAAGAATCGATGCCAATAAGATTATCTTCATTTATGTACACAAATAATAAGAATAGACCAAACATATACATAGCTTCTTTAAGTTGTCCCAAAATAATTAATATCATTTAATAAATATTTAAGATTCCTTTTCAATAAACAAATACCAAATAAATATAGTAATCTTAAATTCAACAATTTTTATTTTTTTTTATTTTTTTTGGTAAATCTCGAAAATGAGTAATTGATTAATAAAAAATATGAAAATAATATAAAATTAATGCCAAAAATTCACAAATAAATATAGTAACTTTAAATTCAACAATTTCAACAATTTTTTTTAATTTTAGTAGTTCAATTAGTTGACTATATGAATTTATACTTTATTGGTGATAGTTTGATTTATTTTTAGTTCACTATCGTTAATTTCTTCAAACTCATCCCAAAAAAATGAATTTAAATTTTACATATTATTTTAATTTTCCTTAAATAATTTTTCGCCCATTTATTTTTAAATCCAAAGTTTCTCAATGAATTTAAATGAAAATTACGTTAAAAGTTAAAAGAAGCTGAAAAAGGAAGACAGTGGTGATGAGAAAGAAAAAGTAAAGAGAAAAGATTAAGCTAGCGTTTGGTCATAAATTTCTAAATATTTTTGGCAAATATTATTTGGGTGAAAATTTGGATGAAATTACACCATGTATTTGACCATAGTATTTGAGAAACACATTTCACTTTTTTAGAAAAATATGATTTATACCCATAAGTTTTAAAAACTTCAAAACTAACCATATATTTGTATTACAAATCAATTGGATCTTCGTTGCAACAAATAACAAGTAGTGTCCATGACACTGGAGCAATGTGGTAGTTTGGAGTGAGTGCAACAAGCATTAATCCATACATCGTGAAGTAAACAAAACACATGACTTCGTTACCCTGAGCCGACTGTTCATCATTTTCATCAACAACCATATCATTACTTTCATATTCACTGAATATTTCATCACTATTTTGGTGTTCACGTAAAAAATTATGTAATACAACGCAAACTACTATAGAGGGTGTTTTTGTAAAAAGTAAAAGTTTGGTGTAAAATTTCAATTTTTAAAAGATCTCAAATAATGAGATTTGACCCAAATACTAAAAAAAACTAGTATTTGAAAATTTGGAATATTTGCTAAATAATGACAAATTGTATGAACAAACACTATTTGCCAATTTTTTCTCCAAATATTATTTGAGAAATCTATGATCAAAAATTTGGAGGAGTAAAAGAGTAAGAAATTGAAATAGTGGATCCCACAATATACGAATGGCAGCCAAAGAGCCCTCATACAACTTACAATAAGTGTGCCTCGTACAAAATAAAAGTTTTTCATAATTACATATCAAATACCCACTATCTAAGAAAAAAGTGGTTTCGTTGTTGGTAACTTAACCAAATGATCAAACACTCCTCTTTAATTTAATTAATAATCAACAATAGTTGGTACTTGGTACCGACATTTTTTTTAAAAAAAAAAGATAACAATTACATAAAAATAAAAAAATAAATATTTTGTCCATGCCTCATTTTTTTTTCTTCACAATTTCACAGTAAATTTCCGATTTTCCAATAACATAGCTCGTTGCAAATCACCTAACCCAATAACAGAACAACTAAACACCACTCTCTGCGATCTATTTCCGTCACCCGCAGCCTCGTTTTTCATGCTCCACCACCGTAATCCGCCGTCGTTTTTGAACTCACAACCTACTATCTCCTCCGCCATCTCCGACGACTTGCTCATGTACGCATAATCTCCAGCTAAACAAACACTAATCGAAGAAACTCCATATGTTTCACTCTTAACCTTCTGAATCAACGCCGCCGGCATTTCCCCCAATTCCTCACACTCAAAATTCTCCGTATTCACTTTCCAAATTTTAACTCCGGCCACATTTTCAGAGTCTCCGATCATTCCAATCAGGATCAATCGGTTGTTCGCGAACCCGATAATCGAGTGAAAAATACGTGGATCTGGCCTTAACTCATACGGACCTGACCAATTCTTAGTTTTCGGATCGAAACAGTAAGTAACTCCGGTGAATTTCTCGGCGACGACGAGTTTATCTCCGGTGGTAGCGATTGACAGCCATGTAGACGCCGCAGAGTCTTTGAGTATCGCCGGCATTGATTCACACGTTTCCCAAGTGTTCGTTTCGTTATTGTAAATTTCCACAGCTAATGGATCATCTTCAAAGTCGCACGTGCCACCGGCTATAACGATTGAGCCACCTACATAACCCACGATAGGATCGGTTCTCCACACGCGCGGTGCATCCACGTGATGCCACGTGAGATTCATCGCGTCGTGTGAGAACGATAGCTTCGATGGAGAAAGCATGTAGAGTAAATTCGAATGAGATGATCGGAGTGCGGAGACATACTTAATAGATGGTTGAGATATCTCGACCCAGACATTCGAGCGAGGGTCGTAACCATGTACCGAAATGTCATAAGGTGAGCGAGTGCATTGAGTGTGGATAATTAGCCAAGGCTTCGGCTTGTTGAAGCATTTGAGAGAAGAAGTAACGGCTCGATTCCATGATTTTGAAACGCACGAAGAAGGAACTAAGTCGACAAGTGGCACATGTGAAAGAATAGTTTCTAATACATCTCCATGAATAGGGGCTTCATCCTCAAGAATAATTGCCATTTTAGTTGGTAGTTTGAAATTTTGAATTTGTCAAAAATGAAATGTTTTGTTGTAACACTAATGTTTTTTTGAAGAGAATAGGGTTGAGTATGTTATTTATATTGGAGAAATGGATAAGAGTTGGTGAGAGCACTTGGGAATTTTTAGGTTCGTAGAAATGATACATGTCCTACTAGACACTTTGTAGTTGTAAAATGTTGACTCACCAACAACAATGAGCCAGGTCAACTTTAAAAGGAGTGACTTGTCCGTCCTAATTTACGTGATATTGTTTGAAATTATGAGAATAAAATAATTTAATTATATATAAATTATGTAAAAAAATATTAATAAGTTATAATAATTAATAATTTAAAATATAAAAAAAATTATTATATTTTTATCTCAAAACTCGTATCATATAAATTAAGACGGAAGAAATCAGAGTGGGTGGTATATCACTTTTAGTGGTAGACTAGTTTGTTGTGAATCATCGTGAGTAGCAGAATATTTCGTCAAAGACTAACGAGTCCTTCGTAAATGGGGGCGCTAGGAAATTGGGCAATTTCAACTCTACTTGATATTATTGTTCTTTTTTCTTTTTTAATCAAATACTCCTTTTGTTTCGTAATTTATGTAATATTATTTTGATCTAAAAGAGAAATTTTTAAATTTAATCTTGAGTTCAGATGTACCATTTTAATGTTCTATATTGTTGCTGGGACGATTTCATAAAACCGTAGATTTTTTTCCCTCGGAGGTTAGGATGTTCTGAGCCTTGGTTCATCATAGTTCCTACGGGGTGAAATATACAATTGATACCTTGATTACAAATTACAGTAAAATCTCTCTAAATTAATATAGGCGGGATTATTTGTAAATATATTATTTAATCGATATATCAATATTTATTAATTTAAAGAGTGTTTCGACACTGTAAAAATTGTTCAGGGATGAAATCTCAAAGAATTTAAAAGAACACACTAGTGAAAACGTTATTCATGAACTTGAGGTCATGATTAATGATCTCGATTACCGTAATAAAATGGACATTAATAACCTATTGAATGAGTGAAATTGATACATGTTTAGAGATCCAGAGTTTAGAACAAAATGTGGATATTATTGGAAAAATAATGTTGATGAAAAAGTTGAAGATGATACAATACCTTTGAAACTAGTTACACGTAAGGAAACACTTGCATATAGAACTCTTCACAATTTTATGGTGCAATTAGAAAAGACAACAACGAAACTTTTGGATGCAATAATATCCAAGTTAGAGATGAACTTCAACTAGATTTAATTATTTTTTTAAAAAAAAAGAACATAATAGAATCATATTTCACTAAATTTTCTTAGATATATTTGTATTTTTAAAAAATTATTAATTTATAATATTAATGGGACCATATATTTATATGGGGGTTTTCTGAAAATATATTATCTTATCGAAATGAGTGATTTTTTCCATTGGTCCAAATCAGAACCGAAAAAAATTATTATCTTAAAGAAATTATTAATTAACCAAATATTAATTTAGTAAGGTTTTACTATATTTTTTATATGTCATTTATGATTTAACCATGTGCATTGTCTGGCTTTACCTTGTGTAATTTTAAATATTTTTCACGATTTATCATTTGATACGTACCTTGGGCTATTTCTATCGTATAATATAAGGACACCTATAGAAAAGTGTCATTAACGCTGGGATAAAGGAAATAGTATTAAGTTCTTTAGCTAAATTCAAGAAATCCATTGGTGTCATAAAAAATAGTACATCGTAAGGTTCTTGTTTTTTGTACCGAAGTATCTAAAATAACGAAGAAAAAAATTATGGTTAAAACGGTTAGTATATCCAAAAGCCACAGTAGCTAAGACCTATCTCAGATTTTTCACCGCGCTTCAAAAATAAGCAAAGGCAACAAAGTTCTAGTAGTCAGAGGCGGAGTCGAGATTAAGGGTGTGTTTAGTATGAAGGAAAATATTTTCCGAAAAATATTTTAAATGTTTTTCAATTTTCTCATGTTTGATTGGGTTAAATGTTTTGGAAAATATTTTTCAAATCAACTCATTTTTCTCAATTTTAAGGAAAATGACTTCCCTTCAAAACTTAAGGAAACATTTTCCAAAACTCTCCTCCAACTTAAAATTACAATTTTCTTTTATTGAAAAAATTAATTTATTTTGTCCCTACCCTCAAACCACCCCCTCAAAAAAATAATACTATTAAAAGTTATTTTTAAAAGATATTTCTAATTTCAATTTATTATTTTTTTTACCATCCTCTCCCCGTCAGCCCCTACCAGTCCCCCACATCCTTCAAAAGATAATAATTTAAGTATTTTAAAAAAAAACATTTTCTACTTCAATTTTTTATTTTTTCAACCCGATCCTCGACCCCCACCCCC